GTTTAGGGTTTAGGGTTTAGGGTTTAGGATAGGATAGGATAAGATGCATTGACGGCGGCCCGGGTTTAGGGTTTAGGGTTTAGGGGTTTGGGGTTTTAGGGGTTTAGGGGTTTAGGGTTTAGGGTTCTGTGTAAAGCTCCCAGGATGTCCCGCCGACCTATGAAGCTAAACCCAGGTTATGAATGCAGTATCGTGGCCGGACTCTGTCCCCCCAAAACACTGTTTAGGGTTTAGGGTTTACTCTAGTTCTTAAGGCCCTTAGCTTTATTATTCCGAGGAGATGGTAGAGGGACGTGGAGTTCGGGGCCTTTTTGCGGAAGCTGCGCATCTCGTAGCTGAAAGCCACACTCCGGGATGTCAGCAGAGTTAAGTTTGCGCAAACTCACGCCGTCAGATTGGCTGAAGCCCTAAGCCCTAAACCCTGAACCCTGAACCCCTGAACCCTGAACCCTAAACCCTAAACCCTAAACCCTAAACCCTAAACCCTAAACCCTGAACCCTAAACTCCTAAACATTGCTGCCCTAAAGCCATAAAGCAAAGCCATTCTGAACCCCCGAGCCCGAAGCCCCGAAGCAAGCACTGATCGCACGAGCCGTGGTTAGCCCCCCATGCCCTGATGACTTAGGGGTTTAGGGTTTAGGGGTTTAGGGTTTAGGGTTTAGGGTTTAGGGTTTAGGGTTTAGGGTTTAGGGTTTAGGGTTTAGGATAGGATAGGATAAGATGCATTGACGGCGGCCCGGGTTTAGGGTTTAGGGTTTAGGGTTTAGGGTCTTGGCTCCACAGCTACACTCTGGCACTAGCTTAGGGTCCAGGCTTAGTCTTCAGGGTTTGGTGTCTTATGATTTAGGGATTACTTTCCTCATCTTTAAACCCTACACCCTAAAACCCTAAACCCCTAAAACCCTAAACCCTAAAACCATAAAGCCCTAACAGCCTAAAGCCCTAAACCCCAAACCTCTCTAACATGTCAAAGGAGACCCGGAGCTGCTGAACCCTAAACCCTAAACCCTAAACTTTTAAACCCTAAAACCCTAATAGCCTTTAAACCCTACACTCTAAAACCCTAAAGCCTAAACCCGAAACCCTGAACCCTAAACCCTGAACCCTAAAACCCTAAAACCCCTACCTGACGAAGGCCGGCCTCTTGCCGAATGCTCTAAGACAGTCTGGCCGGGCAGCTGAGTGCTTAGGGTTTAGGTTGGAGGGTTTAGGGCTTAAAATTTAGGGTTTGGGGTTTAGGGTTTAGGGTTTACAGTTTAGGGGTTAGAGTTTAGGGTGTAGGGTTTAGGGTTTAGGGTTTAGGGCGAAAAGGGTGTAGGGTTGAGGGTTTAGGGCTTTCGGGGGTTCAGTTCAAGTTTCAGCTTGTTGGTTGGTATGTTGTCGTGCTTACTTGATCGTCTGTGGTTTGTTGAGTGTTCCTTGTCAACCGTAAACCCTAAACCCTAAAACCCTAAAACCCTAAAGCCGAAACCCTATGGTTGTTAAGGTTTCAGGTGCTTTCGAGTTCGAAGGCTGGGGGGGAGGTGTCTTATGGTTTTGCGACGCTGCTCTACACCCTGGAACCTGAACCCTGGAAACTTACAGCCTGAAATGATTGCAACCCTTAGGGTTTAGGGTTTAGGGTTTAGGAAATCTAAAGCGTGGTTTAAGCTGGTATTTCCCTGGGTAGCCGGGCAAGAAGAGGACGAACTAAGGCCTAAACAGCTCCTAACCCCCTCCAAGGATCCAGGTTTACGGAATATCGGGCTTGAAAACAAGGTTCAGGGTGTATTGGGCTTAGGCTCAGGATTTGTAGGGTGAATGTGTTCAGGGTTTAGGGCCTACGGTTCCTAGCTGTACTAAGGTTTATGGTTTCTGGCTTCGTTAGGGTTTAACATGCTAGCGCTTGCATGCGGATTTGGGAGTCAAAGTCTGAGCAAACGAAGCAAGACATGGCTCCCTTCCTTCAGTCATAGGGTTTCGGGTAGGGTTTAGGGCTTTAGGCTTCAGGGGTTTAGGCTTTAGGGTAGGATGCCCGTAATTTCGACGGGGTTTTGTGCGCTAGAGCATTTACAGGGGCTGGGGCTTCCTGGCAGCCTGAGAAGAGGGTCGATGTTCGGAATAGTCATGAAAGCCCAAATTGAAGCATAGACTTTCAGGCTCGAAAGCTGCTCCATTACGGTAGCAGGGGCATTCAGGAAGACAAAAAACATGGAGATTACATAGCTGAAGTTGCAAAGCTTTCCAGGGGCCATCAAGGTGCACAGTCAAACAAGGCTCCGATGGTAACCCTACGCCCTAAACCCTAAACCCTATTAAGCCCCTGCCTCCTCGCCCCCCATGAGCAGGTGCACTTCGAAACGGACGAATGCCAGGCGCCTCTGAGGGGGCTTGCAGCGAGTTCTTCGGCTTCGGGGGTTTTAGGCCTTGGGGGGTTTACGGGGGCTTCAGGGTTTCGGGGGTTTGGGGTTTAAATCGGTTTTTAGGGTTTAGGGGGTTTAGGGTTTGGGGGTCCGATTTTAAGCAACACCATGACCCCCAGTAGTTCGCTGATGGAATAATGTACGCCAACACTCTATGCCAATGTAGTAAGGTCCCTACATTAGATTTGGGATGTGTAGCACCTCTGGCCGCTGGGGAGGCCTATTGCTGGAGCTTAGGGCGTACTGAAGTTCAGGAGGGTTAGGGTGCATTTTCGGCACAATTTATTTATTTATTTATCTTTTTATTTATTTATATGCATACTCTAGGCTTCCAAAACAGAAGCCACGAGATCCTACAACCCCGCGTCCCCCCAGAACCCAAGCTTTCAGCCCACCCAGCGCCAGATCAGAGATAGTCTTGAGGGTTTTAGGGTATGGGTTCGGGCCTGCGCATGCGGCTGGGGGCTTTAGAGCGAAATCCTAAACAAGTTTAGGGTTTAGGGCTAATCCTACTTTACATTTTTGGCCGCTACTTTGGCCAAGCCAACCCACGAACCGAATCCGGTCTTTTTGCCTTGCAGCCCAGCCAGCCTGTCAAGCTGGTACGAGGTACTCTTGTCGGCCCATAGATCCTAACTTGCATCGGGCTTGTATACATAAACTTTCTAAAGCCCGCGTAACGCCCTTCTAAGCCGTGTGTAAGATCCTGTAAATCCCTATAGCACCGTTCTGATGCCCGAACGTCCTTTACGGGTCCAACAGGGGCCTGCATGATTACACATATTATTTTAGGAGGGGAGCCCTTATTAACAATTAACACAAAACATACCTCAAAGCCCTATTCTAGTTGGGTGTTTGTTCGGTGTTCTTTGGTGTTCCTTAAAAATTAGTGTTCATTCACTCTTGCTATGATCGATACCCAAACAAGGTTTTTGTTCCGCGTTGCCTGGTGCCTGAAACCCTCAACCGTAAGCCCTACCTGCACCCTATAAAACCTACCTTTTTAGGGCTCTTTATCACGGTCAACTGTTGACCCGACACCCGAAAACCCTAAACCTTGAAACCCTAGACCCTAGAACCCTAAAGCCCTAAACCCCTAGAATCCTAAAACCCTAAAACCCAAAAATCCTGAAACCCTAAACCCTCAACCCTAAAGCCATAAACCCTAATCCCAAAGCCTAAACCGTTAGCCGCAGGCGCTGCGCTGTTTGTTGCCACGGTGGGGTGCTGAGATGTGGATTGGAAACCACAGGACCTCAGCACTATCCATAGGTTAGGGTTTAGGGTTCAAGGTTTAGGGTTTGGGGTTAGGCCCCATAGTAGTTCCTTGTTGGGGTCATGTTTAGAGTCCTACAAGGTAATCCCAAAAAGGAGACACTATGGGGCCTATAGGTATCTCCATACAATGACCTAGATTAAATGTGACTATGATGGCGCCGACTCCTCCTTTGCCGAACTTCGGAATCCGCATTGGGGGACTTGGTTGATTTCTCCTTGTACGTAATGTCAGAAGTACTAAGTTCGTACTCAGGCCGATGGGCTGGTTTCACCTTATCAACCCAACCATACGGGCAAGCGGATGACCCACAAGGTGTTTCGTGATGACCCGCCACCAAGGTTTAGGGTATCTGACAACTCGACCTCTTTAGGGATATGAGTAAGTGTCCTAGTTCTGGCATTTTGCTGCAGCCTAAAACTTGAACGCTAACCTGGGTCAAGAAGGGGCGCAACGTTTATCATTGTGAGCGCGGTTAGGTTTCGGGGCCCGTTCCTCAATACAGGGGTAGTGGATCCAGGAGTTTAGGGTTTAGGGATTCGGGGGGCTGGGCAGGAAAAGGCTGTCCCAAATACTACTGACTGAAGAATATGATCACAACCGTTTGAGGGGGTCCTGCTAGCATTTGCGGATTTATGTCTGATGGGTGTGTATGACTCAGGGTATTTGTGGATTGCCTGCTACAGGCTTTTATAACTAGCTTGCAAACTCTGGTTGTGCTTTGTGCACGTCATAACACCTTCAAACCCTAAACCCGAAAACTCTACATCCCAAAGCCCTGAACCCCTACTTGGAGGATCATGGGACTTAGTAAGGTTATAAGTCCCCTAATTGGGGTTAGAAGTATAGTTACTTTAGTTATAACCCTACTTACTAATTCCCATGATCCTTTAAGTAGTGTACCTAAACCCTGAACCACGCCTCTCCCACCCGGTTTCTTTGGACCGGGGACCCTAAACCCTAAACCCTAAACCCTAAACCCTAAACCCTAAACCGGACCCAGGTTACGAAGCTCAAGCAGCTGATAACGGTCAAAGAGGCCTGGTTTCCTGATCCTTCCACGGCCGCCTTTATGCCCAACCAACCTCAGTGTGAATAATATAGGCGCCTGAATAACTACCTACATCATGTTGGGGGCTCTTTATCAGAATTATAGTAGAAGATACCCCAAAAAGCCATCTTCTCATTGCAAGGCCCCTACATTATGTGTACCCTAACCCTGAACCCTAAACCCTAATGCATTCCCTTCCTCAGGATGCTCCGAGCTCGAGGTTTTGAGTTGATAGTGACTGATCGACAAAGTTTTCCAGACCGCCATGATTCTGATTACCTACTATTATAATTAGTATTGTTATTATTATTATTATTAGTATTATTATTAGTAGTACTATTAGTATTATTATTATTATTATTACAATAGTATATATAGGAGCCCTGGTTTGATCCCTGGCACAACCTGTATTGATGGAACCCTGTGCTTCCAGGGACCTTATTCTTGGGTCCTTAAGGGGTCTAGGGCCCTAACTATAGGGTCCTTGAAAGCATGGGGATAATCATCAAGTTTACCCTAAACCCTAAACCGGTCATCCCAAAGACGTTGTACCCCACAAGTTACAAGGTAGGCTAAGTACATACCTAGGTTCCCCAGTAGTACCCTTTTGCCCTTTTTCCTTTTTTGGGTTCCCTGAATAAAGCCAAATAGTAGGAACAAGGGTACCCTTATTATTTAGGGGCTACTGGGGAACCCAGAAGTCGGCATGGGTAGCTCCCTGACTTTCTGAGGTTTATCCTAGACTCCAAGATGTGGGTCGGTGATTCTATCATTTAAGTAGGGCTTGGTTATCCGAAGATACGGCGTGAGTATACAAGGGCTCTATGCCCTGTAGTACCAAAACCATCCGATTCGCAGGGCGGGGGCAACCCTGAAGCCTAGACGTCGCCGAACTCCAACCCTGAACCCTAAAGAGTCAGGTCTATAGCGTTTAGGGTTTAGGAACAGGGTTTAGGATTTCCGTTCTTGCGACTGTGAAGGGAAATGGGAGCTTTGCAAACTGCCGGCAGCTTGCGATGCCTGATGGCAGGCACGCTAGTCAAGGAGATCAGCGAGACGGATGTCGACGGATTGACATAAAGCCTCAAGAATGCCGAGGTGCTGGAGTCCACCGTGAGGCGAAACTTGGACCACAGGCAGACGGTCATGAGGAGAGTCATTGACCTACCTGCCCATTAACGCCCTAAGCCCGGCACCCTAAGCCCGAAACCCTAAGCCCTAAACCCTAAACCCCAGGCCCTCAACCCTAAACCCGAATCCCTATTTATTCGAAGACCCTGCACACCAAGGCCAACCTCGAGTGCGGTACCGGACCAGGGTGATGGATGACCACTAATGTAGGAGCCAAGATAATTACCAATACTATTTTGGGCGTTCTTTATTATAATTATAGTATAATGGGCCCCAAAGCCCTATTCTAATTATTAAGGCCCCTGGCCGGTTTCCTGGCTGAGGCACAGGAAGCAAGGTTTGCTCCCAGCCATGAACCCAGACACCTCAACTACTCAACCTCTACCTGTAACCCACAAATTATCGGCTTACAACCCCTCAAGCATAGGGCAAAGCCTGGCAAAGCCCTGATGAGAGTGACTAGTTAGTTTTAGGCAGGAAGTTGAACACACCATATCTAAGAACGTCAAGCGACAAGCCAGAGAACTTGAAAGCTAGAGCTTGAAAGCCCAAAACCAAAACAAGAAAGCCTCTGTCGGTCAAGGATCGGGCTACTTCAATTTCTGAAGTCGACACTTTCCTTGGCTGGTGCGTTCAAAAACCAAAGAAGTGTACCATCGAACTCAAATGCTCATCCACGCCCCTTAGAATCTCAATCTCTACCCAAACCCCAGACCCTAAACTCTAAAGTAGGTCGTACACCCTGAACCCTAAAACCCTGAATTTCTCCTAAATCCTGAACCCAAGGCCCCAACGCCAAAGTGTTATTTCCCAACTGTGAGGCGGAGCTTGAGAAGGAGAACGCTGCCTTGGAAGAAGCAGCTTCAACCCTCGCCGGAAGCTCGGCAGTTGCGGATTTAGTACGAAACCTAGACAAACAGAGACCTAATTACTTTTTGAAGTTCCTTATTCTAAGTTCCTTATATAAGTCTGAACCTCAAGAGACCTGTTTTTGTTGGGTGTTCCTCATTGTTAGTTCCTTATGTAAGTCTTTAAGCAGGTAGGTGATTCGAATCAAGGTATAGACATCGAGGTCGGAGCAGCTAGTGCGATTATTCCTTATAGGGTTCCTTATACTTTTCGGTGGCTATAGTACTTACACCATGTAAGTGCAGCAAAAAAATCATGAAGGTGCCCATCTATTTGGGGATTAGGGGTTTGAACGGTTTAGGGTTTAGGGTTTAGGGTTTAGGGTTCAGGGTTCAGGGTTTAGGGTTTAGGGGTTTAGGGTTTAGGGTTTAGGGTTTAGGGTTCAGGGCTCATTAGGCATGGGGTTGGGGGCTCATCTTTATGGGGTTTAGCGATTGGCTCAGGGCTTAGAAGGAGGTTTATAGAGGGCTCCAGGGTCAGGGTTAAGGGATTACAGCGAGTTACAGGGTGTGAATTGAGGGATGGTTTAGGGGGTGTGGTTTGCTTTATTGTTTGCATATAGAGTGTACACTTTGAGGTTTGCAGGGTTTCAAGGCTCATAGTGACTAAACCCTAAACCCTAAACCCTATACCCAAAGGAACTAAAGCGTTCGCAGGATTTTCGGACTTTTAAAGTCGCCCAAGCCGAGCCCCAACCCCAAACTATAGAGAGTGTGGATACAAAGCTAGTAAATTTAGAGTTTAGGGTTTAGGGGCCCGTAAAGCATTGCAACGCTGGAAGAGGCGCATTCTAGCTGTGAAGGCCCCTTTATCTGCGATAGATAGAACGTTTTTTAAGTTGGCTTATACAGTTGGCCGAGCAAGATCGCTGCAGGCGCACATCTCCAACTGCGCCGCAAGCTTCCGAAGCCAATTCAGCGGCGAGCTGGACAAGGCTCTGAGTTTTCGGGGGTTTGGAGCTTAAGCCCTAAACCCTAAACCCTAAACCGTTAGGGTTTCTAGGCTTGAGAGCTTGGGGAGATGGATGAACTGGGTCTTTCGGGGTTTAGGGTTGCTTGGAGAGCAGGGGTTCTGAGGGTTTTCGGTAGTTGAAAAGTATGTTACGTTTACATGGGTTCTGACGCTTTTGGAGGCATTGTCAGGGTTTTGCGAGCCTCAAGGATTCTGTCTCAAATTTTGTCGGGCTGTTAGGGTTTTGGGTCCTAGGGTAGCGGGACAAAGCTCCGGCTTAAGATCTGCCGTGCTGGACCACAGAAACGAGGGTTACTGCAGAGGTCGGAATAAAAACTCATTGCAGGTGCAGGCACTGAGCCCAAAACCCCACATCTCAAATCCGAAAAAAACCCTAAGGCCCTAAACCCGAAAACTCTAACTACGTAGTCTCTGCAAAGATTTAGGTTTGGGTCTCGATCAGGGGGTCATGGACTTCTGTTTTGTAGCGCTCGGGCTGCGCTTTCCTAACTAATATAGGAGCCTAAACAATTACCTATACTTTTCTGGGGAGTTCCTTACTACAATAATACTAGAAAGGAGCCCAAAAACTTTATTCTGTTATACAGGCCCCTACAGTACAGGGGCTTTGTCATGGGCTTGTCTACAGCAGGGTGAGGGATAGAGTCGGTCAGAGGGTCACGTGTTCCGAAATTCAGAGGAGGATAAGACAGTTAGCAATCGTGCCTCAACACATGGGACATAAGAGGAAAGTAAAGCAGGACGCCCTGTGACAATCTCCGATTGTTTCGGCCGCCTACCATACCATAGCATACACCGAAATGAAAGCGCCCCCTGCGTTAAACCCTGAGGGCGCCGATGGAATGCCGAACTTCAACCCCGTATGGGGTGTTGGGGTTCGGGGTTCAGGGCTTCTCGGGCTTGGGATTTGCGTGAAAAGACTCCAAGCGAACCCAACACCTGCTCACTAAAGGAAGACACCTTAAAAAGTTGTGGGGGCATGTGAGGGCTCTAGTGCTTTGGGCCCTGTGAAAACACTTTACGAGAAACACGTTTCCCAAAACCCTGATCCAAATCCCTACGCCCTGAACCCTTAAACCCAAAACCCTGAACCCCAAAACCAAAGGGCCCTTAAACAATCAAAAAACAAAACCCCCCCCCCAAAAAAAAAAAATCCAAAAGGACATAGGAAGCGAGGCAAAACGGCCCCGACCGATATCCTAAACCCAGTCCTCTTCAGGGAGCCCTGGTCCCGCAAACCCAACAGCCAGAACCCTGAAGAACCCGAAACCGAAACAAAACGATCCTCTTTGTGTAGGCTTGTTCGTCTCATGTCCGGTTGATGTGGGTGGGGTTCATATTTAAAGTTTTCATAAGTTTAGGAAAGACGGTCCTCCGCACATACTCCTCCATTCCGCCTTCGGTGACCGTCGTGCTGCAAGCTGGCTCTGAGTTGGATGAAAGGAAGAAGATCCGCCTTGCACTCTTCTGCGCTGTTAGGGTTTAGGGTTTGAGGTTTAGGGTTTAGGGTTTAGGGTTTAGGGTTTAGGGTTTAGGGTTTAGGGTTTAGGGTTTGAGGTTTATGTAGCGGTTCGGGTTCATAGTAAAATATACTATACTATAGCAAGTTACAATGCATCATAACATGTTATAGCATGTTATGCTAAATTATAGTCATAATTTACTATCATGTGTGGTACTATATTGCACAATAGGATTCAGGGGCATGGGGTCTTTGGATAGAGGGGATTCCTCATCCTGATTATAAGGACCCCAAAATACCCAAAATCCCTAAACCCTAAATCCTAACATTGAACCCTAAACAAAAATACCCTAAACCCTAAACTCTAAACCCTAAACCCTAAACAATAATACCCTAAACCTTAAACTCTAAACCCTAAACCCTAAACCCTAAACCCTAAGCCCTAAACCCTAAACCCAAAGCCCTAAACCCGGAAACTCCCACGAAGGGTTTGCGGCCTTAGCGTTTAGGGGCCTGCAGCCTTGAAGCTGGACGGTTTAGGGTTTAGGGTTTAGGGTTTAGGGTTTAGGGCTTAGCGCTTGGCTTCGGGTTTAGCGCTTCTTGGGTTCCGGGTTTACATTTAGGGGTGAGGGTTTAGGGCTAAAGGGTGAGGGTTTAGGGTTTAGGGTTTAGGGTTTAGGGGTGAGGGTTTAGGGCTAAAGGGTGAGGGTTTAGGGTTTAGGGTTTAGGGGTGAGGGTTTAAGAGTTTAGGGTTTAGGGGTTGAGGGGTTGAGGGGTTGAGGGGTTTAGGGTTTAGGGGTTGAGGGGTTTAGGGTTTAGGGGTTGAGGGGTTTAAGGGTTGAGGGTTGAGGGGTTTAGGGTTTAGGGGTTGAGGGGTTCA